TCGGAATATACTGAGACCCAGCGGACTAAGTCGGAATGTTCTGTTCAGATTTCTGGATGCATTAAACGATGAGCGTCCTCAAATGTCCAAAATTTACCTTTCTTTATCCACTCCGGGTCTTTAATGCCTGGGGGCGGCACAACCTATCCAGGCTGAAGTTGGACGTTTGGAGGAAGTACGCACCTCCCTGATGTCCCAAACAGAGTAGAAACACCAAATTCCTTCAAGAGTGCTTGTGATACCTCCTCAGTATCCATGTAAATTTTCCTCTCATAGTCAGCTTTTGCCGAAGGACCAATTGCTCTAAGGTCTGTTCTTTCTGGTTCAGTTAGCATCTGAGCCTTTTCTTCTTGAACAGGTTTATTTTCCTCGATGATAATTTCTCTTGGTGTTTCTTCAATTTGCTCAGTTGGTGGTTTGCCCTTCACTTTGAACCTTTTCGCTCTTGTGCTCCCAGCTCGTGGCACCACTTGTAATAGAACAAAAAATTCCCTTACAGTAAACTTAGTTACAGTGAAAAACAAAACAACTTTAACTTTTGCTTCCCTACAGTACTCTCAACTTGATTTATCTTTACTCTAACTAGACTTCTTTGGCACCGTTAGATCTCTTGTGTTGACCCACCGTAGCTTACTTCTGATTTTCTATGCTCTCTTATGTTGAGCTCTATCTGGTCTCTGTTTACTACACCTACAGTCTCTACTCTTTTATACACTTGTAGTAAAGGGAGATTAGTGATTCAAATTCTTGCTCTTGAAAAGGATATGAAAGATTTGATTAATGAAAGGTTTATTGGAAAAAATTTGGATCAAATAAGGGAAAGTTTTTCAGTGGACAGACAGCTAGTGAGCACCTTATAATGAAAGACTTCTGCCAGTATTTATGAAAGAGAGAATTCTCCTACACAACGAGAAAAGAAAAATACAAAAATTACGTATAAGTAATCGATAACTCCTAAGCTAAATAATGAAACCAAACTTGGTTACCCAAAATTTGCTCACCTTTTAAATCGTTCCAAATTTGAGCTTTAGACAGATAGTAAGTTAGAAATTATTGTAAATTTGAATCCCTAAGAAATAGAAATAAAATTGCTCACAACCTCTTTCAATTGATTGAATAAAAAGAATAAACAAAACAAACATTGACAATATCCACAGAAATTAGAAAGTTTTCTTTCGAGATATCTGCCCTATGGCCTTCCAAAAAAGAAATTGTTCTTTGTCGTCCAAAAACAGGAGGCAAAGGGCTTACCATCTTAAACCGTTATTAGGCTTCAAAAATTCTTTGTTTTTTGTTGACTAATTTGTGTTTCTTTTTGT